GAGCTGCAAAACGAATAGACCAACAATTCGAACAGTTATTCGAGAAGCTGTTTAACCAGTACTAACAGTTATTTGAGCTGCAAAACGAATAGATCAACAGTTCTAACAAAAGGTATGAAGACTGATGAGGCCCAGTTTCCACTAAGAAGCATTGACGGACGAGTACGGGTTTAGGATGAAAAGGGCGAACGTTTCTGTCGGAATGCGTATCTCCTTCGTGTGAGGTACAGGCTTCATCCTCCTCGCTCAAGCATTTGGCTCGATCGCAGGAAATAGCAGTTAAATTTTACCTGAGCTGATGGGTTGCGCAACGTGGAGTTTGCATCTACAGTACTGCGGGGAAGTCATGCAAAATTCATCACGAAATTGGACTTAGTGGTTTTGCATAGATTTTTAACCCTTATTTTGATTTACTTAGTGAATTTAAGCCCGAGAGAGCCTTTTAGTAAGGTAAACTGGATTTTTAGTTCACTTTATTGAGGATAATAGGCATTACTTTTGGCGAAATCGGAGGTAGTCTGATATCGAAGAAATTTTCTATGCTATTAATTACGATAGAACCAAACTACCAGTATTATCAAGTCCACTAGACTGATCGAAATACCAGCTATAACTACGCAAGTGTTAGATCTTGTTGATAAAGCATGATCCACTAAGCTAACCAATTTTGGTTTTGGGCAACATTGGGCGAGAAGATGCAAAGACTAACAGACTAAAATGAGGACGTTGAGGGAATGGGAGATATTTAGGTGTGCCTTATCATAGGGAAATCAGTACAGTATCTGACCCTCGCCTAGACGTCAACTGTGGGCTTCGGTAAAGAGGCACTACCCATTCTGATCAGCCACAGAAATGTAAGCTGTCATAGTCAGGGAGACGGAAGGAAATACAGCGTAAACCTACGTCGCGAGGAATTGCTATCGTCTGATTGGAGTCCATCGCGAAAGCCATTGTACTGAAAGTATACTTGGACTCAATACCCTCGCAAGACGGAGGTCTTTCGAGGTAGGTGATTTCTGCTAAAGGGACGTGTTTGACCTCGCCGGGGAACGCCTCCTCCGATGGCTGCTGCAACTGTTCCGGTTCTACATTCGAGGACACACAGTAAATACAGCCTATGAATGCGTAGAGGTGTCGCGTCTGGATGCGCCGATAGAGATTGGTTGTCCTGGCGAACGCCGTCTCCTGGTTACCCATATAGGGCAGTGCGGGAGGCAGGGAGAGGGAGTTGGTTGCCATTGCCCATATCGCGTAATCATCGAGCCGGAGATAGGCCGACAGATGCTTCGGGTCGTCGGAGGTGGCCGCGAGCAGGGTGAGCTCGCGAAGCTGCATGACAGAGTCCAGGCCTTCGAGGATGTCCAAAACCATCAACTACAGGACAGGCGGATGGGTATTATGACGAAGGCTGATTGGTGCAAGTGAGTTCCGTTAGCGATCGGTTAACGTCAATGCACGAGTGCTAAGGTAGGCGTTATGGTTAGGAGTTAAATTTACAGTTGGGGGGGGGAGTTCCATTCCCGTTTCTTACCGGATATTTCTGTTCGGCGGTCCAGTTACCCATAGTTCTAAATCAATTCGAGTTGAATGCAAACCTGGGGAATTACCGATGTTTTAGACTATTTACTCTGTTTGTGGTGTACGGCTTACTGTGACCTACGGTAAATGTGCTAACTCATGAAATGTTAACCGAAAAGC